ATTACATCGTTACACGACACGCGGATGACAAACGCGATCGAAAGAAGCGACTTCGCGAGGACGAAAACGCGCTGGTTACAGGAGCGAAAGCCGCTACTGGGGAGAAGGAGCCGGGAGAAAGGCGGGAACAGACAACTTCTCGCAACTCGACACCTGTACAAGGCGGTAATATTCTCTCGGTTACCACCGCAGCAGCTTTCAAGGTGGCGACGAGGACGTTTCCACCTGCCCGCTTCTGTAAACACGTCCGTGTACACGGCGGCGGGCGTGGAAAAGCAACGAGCAACCTCTTATCCGCTGCGCGGGGACAAAACGCGGCCGGAGCGTGGACGGCAGGGGTGCGTTCGCCCCTGAGACCGCGACGCCACCGAGCTTTCGCCGCACGCCGCAGTCAAGCTCGAGTGTCTCACCGCGGCAAACGCGAACCACCGTCTTCCGCTCGATTAAATTCGGCATACCGGGATGGAAAAACGTCCGGCGAGCAACGAGTCTAATTCGCAGCTAGCCGATACTCAAGCCGATTCAGAAATACAAAATTCAGAAATAGAAAGAGGGAGAAGAGAGAAGACAGAGAGATATCGGTATCGAGAGTTTCTCGTGTGAAACGATTTAACGGGATCAAGGGGGGCTCGTCGTAGAGAGGTGCAACACGCGTGTCGATTAATTTCGCGAGGTGAAATAACGCGAAGACGGACCTAGCAGCGGTTAACCCATTCGAGACCGATTTCCGAGGCTACGAGACCGGTTGCACACCGTGCGTGCAGTGATAACAATGAGCATTTATCAGTTAATCTGAGTAGTCGCTACTGGGGACCGTGTTCGAAAAAATCGTCGTCTCGAATGGGTTAACACGTCGAGTGCGGCGCCGATTTTGCTATACTTTCCGCTCAGGCGGCAGCTAGCGAGCACTTGATGCCGAGCGCTCAAGTATACCGAAGGGGATGAGCAGAAGATTACTTTGTTTCACTTTGTCGTTTGGACTGTGAGAATGGTACAGCCAGTGCACAAATATACAAATTATAAACAGAAGACAATGGGGTGGGGAATGCCAGAAAGGCAAAAAGGCGATCACCAAGAAACGATCAGTCGAAAAAAGCCACGGAAGTGTAAAGATTTACTTTAGCAGAGGGAATGAAATTTTTACAATATATTAATTGTCATTGATCATTTAACCCTTGACAATGCCAGTCTTACGCACCGATGATGATCAAACGAAAAATTCGCTGTCAGTCCCTAGAATCCACACCGTCCAAACGAAAAGTCTACTGTCAGTTCCTAGGGACTGACGTAGCGCTCAACGTGTTAAAGCGTTAACCCCTTGCATTGCGCTAAAACTGAAGAAAATCCGTGTGCCCGAATATGGTCGAGGAAGGAGCCGAACGGCGGAACCCAAGTGTCGAAATTTGAAGCACGATATCATGACTGAGTGCGAGACAGTCGCGAGCCCATTCGAGATATTCATATTTAGCCCGAGATTAAGACCACGAGTCAGACTCGGGATATTTACGTTTGGCCCGAAATGTCGGTAACGAGTGAGACTCGTGATATTCACGTTTGACCCAAAGTGTCGATCACGAGTCAGACTCGTGAGATCCTCGTTTGGCCCGAAATGTCGATCACGAGTCAGACTCGTGATATCCATGTTTTTCATGAAATTAAACGACGAGCCTGACCGATGACATTCAAGCCTTGTATTTCCTTTTTGTAGTTCCTCCAGCTAACACCATCTACCGGAATTGGAAATTAATAGAGGTCCTGACTCTTTACCCTGGAGGATTTGTAGAGGTGGAGGACAGGAAAAACAGAAGAGTTCAGTGTGCTTGGAGTGTGCGCGAATGTTTTGTTAAAATATTATTCTTTATAAATAAAGTAATATAGCAATTTGTGTTGACAATACCGAGTTTTCCTTCAGCGATCGAATTTCTATACCACATGGGTCTATTTTATTATCCGAAATCCTGTGCCGCGAAGAGTCGACAGTGTATCCCGTGACAGTTGCGGTCAGAGCGTCTACTATGCACGAACTAATTCCTAACTTCTTCGAAAATAAAAAAAAAAAAACATTCTTTGGGCATCTTTGGGCCCGAATTCGTAACTTTACCACACCGCGATAGGGTTAAACGACGAACGGGTGAGGCGTAATCTTCGCGACGCGGAGCAAGGTCTCCACCATCCGGTCGTCGTGATCGTCTCGCGAACGCGCGCGGCCGAGCGCATTACCGCGGGACGTATCGAAGAAAAAGCTAGCCCTTCGTGTCTCTCTCCCTTTTCCTCTACGCGGTCCGAGCGTCTCGGTGGCTCGCGGCGCGTCGCGAGCGTTGCTCGCTCTAAATCACGACTTTTCGCCGTGCGAGCCAGGCTACATGGAAATGCAAATGCGCGCCGTTAATCTCGGCAATAAATACGCGCCTGCTGCTCAAGTTCGCGAACGTGGCCGCGGCGTAGTCGCGCCGCGAGCCCTCTCGCCGTCTCTCCTGCCGCTCTCCTACCGCTCTACCATCGCTCTCTCCCTCTCTCCGACTCGCTGCGCGTCTTTATTTCCGATCGCGAAACGCTCCTCTTCGCCCGCTTGCACTTCCGATACGACCAACGCTGCTCCTCGCCGCGATACACCGATAAACACCGCTCGCTCGCACGACGTTCGATCCACGCCCGTCCCCTTTTCTTTCCGCGCCGATCGTCCTGAATTCGCCCGCGGAGTTCGTTGCTCTCCCGCCGCGAGCACGCGTGCACCGATATCGGGCCGAATTAACGCGACCGGCACCACGCGTTATCGAGAGACGCGCAGCTTACGGACCCCAGCGAGCGCGATAAAGCGACGCGAGCGCCAAGAGGATCTGCTAGAAACGGCGCATCGGCCGCTAGAAAGCTAGAAACGCCTCCTTCCGTGCATCCTCCGGCTTCTTTCACGCGCGCGCGAGTTTTTGCCCCCCTCGCCTTTTAGCGTCGCCTTTCTACGCTTCTTGCCATCGAGCCTCCACGCTTCGCTTCGGCCGCGCGAGAAAACAAGGTCGCGACTGCATTCTTCGCCGAGGCTCGCTCCGCGTCTCGTAATCCACTCGATGTACTATCGTCTAGCGTAGTCGATTTCGATGGTACGTTTAAATCCACCGACGGACGATCCCGTGATCGTAGATACCGTTCGAGGAAGCGGACCGATGGGAGTCGCAAAATTTGATCGAACGTGCAGCAGGTGCGTCGCGAGAGGCTCGTAAAACGGTTATTAGGAAAGTTTAAAAGTCGCGGAACACCTGTTGAGTAGCGAGAGAGTCGGCGAAGGCGTTCGGGGCGAGCGACTCGCTCCTCGCGCGAGAAATCGTATCCCGAAGACGATTCTACCCTCTTCGCATAACCACGCGTTTCCTATGATCTAGTCTCGGCTTTTAGCGTCGTGGATTATTTTTATTTTCCAGCATCTTGGACGCGTCGGTGTCGTCGTTCCGACTCCATTTGCTCGACGCAGGGGTCGTAGGATCGGAAATAAACGCGGAGGAACGGCGCGGACAGAACTGGAACCCGGGGCGAGCAAAGAGGAAGAGACGATGTTTACGAGCCACGGGAGAGGAGAGACTGGACGAGCCTCTCGACGTGGCGGTAACGATCGTATGGGATTTCTCTATAGACCCTTCGGGCAGCTGCTACCGCCTAGGTATATACGTCTTCCAGACTCGGGGATGAAATCGGAACACCCCGAGGATCGTGGCTCGGTCCAAGGACCGACCAAATGTTTCCTCCCGCCTCGGGACGAAAGGCAAGAAAAAGGAGGAGCACGACCGATGCCATATGGCACCAAAACGAGCTATCGAGACGCTAATACCCAGACGAACCGCTGCGAGACTCAGCCTGAGAGACTCTAGGCAACTCGGCCACGAAATAATCCATGGCACGTGCCCGTTTAAATCGAAATTCTGAAAACGCGAATCGAGTCGATTCCCAACCTGATTTTCAGGGAGCAACTCGTCGCCGAGGAGTTCCTCGCGCGGAAACGCGATTGACTAACAATTGACTCACGATTAATTCACGATTGACTCACGATTTACTGACGATTGACTCATAATTATCTCCCGATTGACTGGAAATTGACTCACAATTGAATGACGATTGACTCACGATTGACGCACAATAGACTCACGATTGACTTACAATTGACGCACGATTGACTGACGATGGACTTACAATTAACTCACGATTGACTTACAATTGACTTAGAATTGACTTAAAATTGACTAACGATTGACTGACGATCGATTAACGATTGACTAACAATTGACTGACAATTGACTCACGATTAATTCACGATTGACTCACAATTAACTGACGATTGGCTCATAATTAACTCCCGATTGACCGACGATTGACTTACAATTAACTCACGATTGACTGACGATTGATTGACGATTGATTGACGATTGACTTACAATTAACGCACGATTGACTGAAAATTGACTTACAATTAACTCACAAATGACTAACGATTGACTGACGATTGACTTACAATTGACTGACGATTGATTGACGATTGATTGAAAATTGACTTACAATTAACTCACGAATGACTAACGATTGACTGACGATTGACTGAAAATTGACTTACAATTAACTCACGAATGACTAACGATTGACTGACGATTGACTTACAATTGACTGACGATTGATTGACGATTGACTTACAATCAACGCACGATTAACTGAAAATTGACTTACAATTAACTCACGAATGACTAACGATTGACTCACGAATGACTCACGATTGACGAAAGGGAATCGGTTCGATAGGCTCCGGATTAAACTCCGCGGAATATTCGCCGTGTCTACTTTCTCGGTTCTCGGACACGACGCGCGATCGAAACGGCTACGGGGACATGTAGGGTACCGCAACGTTTCGCGCTGATAATCGCAACGCGGTCGCTGATCCTTGCCTCGATCGTTGGCGATTTTTCGAGACACGCGATGCGCGTTTTGACACTCGGAACACGGAGAAGGAATAAATAAAGACTTACCTGAAGAGCGGAGCGGAGACGGCGTGCGGATTTGCGTGATGGTGAGCGTGGTTGTGGTGGCCATGGTGATGGTGTCTGGTATCAGGACCACCTCCTGCTGCCGCCTGTTCGGCCTGGACCGACATCGCCGCGCGGGCCTGTCGTTCCCGCTCCCGAAGCCGGTCCCGGTCCACGCTGAAATCGAAAATCGTTCCGATTAGTCCTTCGTCCAGCCTCCGGGATAATCGCGGGATTATCGATTCCAACGACCTCGCGGTCGCTCGGCAATCGTTCACTCGATACGCGTTTATCGCTGCCGACTGAAACGCGCTCGATAACGGAAGCCGATGTGGTACGCGTTACGCCGCCGACTCGCTGCGTAAACTCGTTTGCGCTCCGCGTTTTCCTTCTTAATGGGAAATCCTGATTTCTCGCGGCAAGTTAGTCTAGGTACCGTGGGCAGCTCGGAAAAAACTCACTCCTCTGTCATCGACTGTGATCTACCGTGTACCTATCTCTAAGTTTTCTAACCGTACAAAGTTTCCTAAATCCTGTCATCTATCACGACATGACAGAGAACTCCCGTCTGTATGACTATCTTCTTCCGAGCTCTCTACGCTACAAAACCGCGCGAAAAATACCGTGTATCGCGTTGCGTGCCGATGTTCGACGTCCGTGACATTGCCCCAACGAACGTTCTATTCTAAGTCGATTTCTTTAAACAAAACCCCGTCGCGTTCCTATTCACGCTCGGTCGCCATTTTCAGCGGTTATCGGCTGATCGGATCGGGTGAGAAATCGGCAGACGCGACACGCAGCCGGGAACAGCTCCCACGATTGGAGAAACAGCCGGAAAGGGAACTACTAGGAAAGGTAGGCGAATAGACAGAGATTCGTGACGAGAGAGAGCAGCTGCAGCTGGCGCGAACACCTGTTTAGTCGCGTTTCCGGCCACGACGACGGCGACGCCGTGATCGCGTACACCGACGAACACCACGCTCGCGAATTATCGATTCCATCGGGATCGCGATCAACGACTCTACTCTCCGAAGTCCAATCAACAGTCTGTTCTTCTTTGCTTCTTACCACGCCAGCGCCAAATCGAGTTACGCGTTAGATTATCGCGATGGGAACCGGCACGATCGATCGCTTTTCGACTCCATTCCTCGTCCGGTGTTCGTTATTATTATTTATTATTAGTTCCACGTAATAAAGAATCGCTAATTTCCGTCGCATTGTTAATCCCCGTTTATTCGCTAACACGGTTCGTCCAGTGGATTTTTCGCGTGTACCGGAAGTGCATCGGAGGGCGTGGGCCGAGGAAGATGGAGCGCGAGAGGTCGCTGGAAAATTCGCGGGACCTCGGATTCGCGACTCGCTCGATGGAGTCCGGGGCCATTGGCCGACGCAGCCGGCGACGGGACGGGTATTACCTCGTTCCTCCGCGCCCGTGTATCCCTTCCGAGTTTAGATCCCACTGATTTCCCGCTTGCTAAAATCCACTCGCCCGTGTCCCACCCCTAGCGCCCCCTTGCGTCCCCTTGTGCGAGGAACGCGGTACTTTCGCTACTGCCGAAATTCTCCGACAAAGGGATCACGTTAAAGCGATCTACCACGATCTACCGCGATTTACCACGATCTATTTTTCGCTACTGCCGAAATTCTCCGACAAAGGGATCACGTTAAAGCGATCTACCACGATCTACCGTGATTTACCACGATCTATCGCGATCTAACGCGATCTACCACGATCTACCATGATTTACAGTGATCTACCGCGATTTACCGCAATCTACCTCGACCTACCGCGATCTACCACGATTTACAGTGATCTACCACGATTTACCGCGATCTACCGCGATCTACCACGATTTACAGTGATCTACCGCGATTTACCGCGATTTACCGCGATCTATCCACGATATACCGCGATTTACTGCGATCTACCACGATTTACCACGATTTACGACGATGTACCGCGATCTACCACGATTTACAGCGATCTACCGCGATTTACCGTAATCTACCACGATCTACCGCGATTTACTGAGATTTACCATTATTTACTGCGATCTATCGCGATTTACCACGATCTACCACGATTTACCACGATTTACCACGATTTACCACGATTTACCACGATTTACCACGATCTACCGCGATCTACTGCGACTTACCATTATTTACCTCGATCTACCGCGATCTACCACGATTTACAGTGATCTACCACGATTTACCGCGATCTACCACGATTTACAGTGATCTACCGCGATTTACCACGATCTATCCACGATATACCGCGATTTACCACGATCTATCCACGATATACCGCGATTTACTGCGATCTACCACGATTTACCACGATTTACGACGATGTACCGCGATCTACCACGATTTACAGCGATCTACCGCGATTTACCGTAATCTACCACGATCTACCGCGATTTACTGAGATTTACCATTATTTACTGCGATCTACTGCGATCTACCGCGATCTACCACGATTTACCACGATTTACCACGATCTACCGCGATCTATCACGATTTACAGCGACCTACCGCGTGTTACCGTAATCTACCACGATCTACCGCGATCTATCGCGATTTACCACGATCTACCACGATTTACCACGATTTACCACGATTTACCACGATCTACCGCGATCTACCACGATTTACAGCGACCTACCGCGTGTTACCGTAATCTACCACGATCTACCGCGATCTACTGAGATTTACCATTATTTACTGCGATCTACCGCGATCTACCACGATTTAGCACTATTTACCACGATCTACCGCGATCTACCGCGATCTATCGCGATTTACCACGATCTACCGCCATAATCCGATGCGAATATCCGCGTACACGAGTATCGGCACGAGATTCGAGATATCCGTAACTCCGAGAGATTCCCTCCCCGACGGTCAAGGATGACGTCGGAAACGATGACGACGATCGTGGAGATCCGAGAGCAAGCACGGTAGGTGCAAAAGTGCTGACAGAGTTGGTTTGTTTATTTGTTTATGATAATCCCGAGCACGCAAAGTGACGTGGCATTACGCCTCCTAGCCGAGAGTCGCGCAACTCGACGGTGACTAACGTTATGGACACACATAAGCGACGCAGACGCAACGAGAGCATTAGAGAGAGTATTATCGACGGCGTTAAGTCGAACAGGGTAATAACAGTGATATAATAATAAATATGCAGCGGAGAAGAGATAAATCTTCTAGAAAATTCCGGCCATTTTTCTTTTTACCCTTTCTTTTCGCGAGAGAGCGAGATAGACGTGGGTTTCGAGCCGCGATGTATCGAGTAAATAAGGATTGCCCAATCTTAACGTCAGCTGATGACAACGGTGTATATAAAATCGGGTTCGACTCGAGCGTTTGGCGCGGAAAAAAAGAAATGATAGCGGCAAATCCTTTTGCAGGAATGTCTGTAGAATGATCGAGAGAGAAAGCGTGTGTATAGAACGAGATAGATCTGGCTTTAAATAGGGATGCAAGGGCGCGAAGCACATACTCTGCGTTGCATGAAAGAAGTCATCCGAGAAACTTGTATGACCTAATCCCCACCAGCCCAACCATTCTAACATCATGGCAGAAGTAGAGTAAAACGCTTCCCTTATTGGTAGAACCGATCCCTTCCTATTAGCCCGGTCATAGAACACCGTCTGACAAAGAAAGCTAACGAAGCAACGAGACAAAGTGAGACAGACGCAAAAAATAGATGCAAAAGCGTAGACTCATCCCAAAGCTTAGTAGTGCTTCCAATTCATCGTAAGTTAACTCTGAGATAACATTTCTTTCGCGGATATCTTACGCCTATGTTAACGTATCACTTTGCCGAACTTGGAGATAATAGTTTTAGGAGTGTCATAGAAGAGTAGGTATTACTAACAAGAGTATAGGCGGTGCAAGTGGAATACCCCTCTTGCCACGAGATGACTTCTTTCCTGCAACGCAGAGTAGATGGTGTATAGTCGAGAATAGAGGACTGAGTGTTAGAGTTGAGAAGAATCTAGTGCGATATGTTCATTAAATAAACCTGTTTTATTATTAAAAGAGGAAATTCTTTGATGAATTTTTCGCGTAACACGCGATTCTACACGCGTGTGTTCGATAAGACGTGACTCGAACCGGTGGAGATAGCGACCGACTAATTTCTAAGGCAGAGAATCCCGGCCAATTTCCAATGAGCTACTCCATATGGCCATATAGAGCGCGCGGGGAACGATCTGGACCGGGTGTTACCGTATATGCGGGCGCTGTATAAATTAGCTACGAATAAATTTGCGTGGAGTAAATTGCGGAGTAAAATATCGTTAGTAAAACACCCCTAATTAAATATAATTTCCCTCCGCCGTTTCGTTCCGTTTCAAATTAATTCCGATATAGTCGCCATTAATGGATACCGCCATTTTAACCGGCTTGCTCTACGAGTTCCTGTGGCACGTACCGTGATCAACAGCAGAGTCGCTCGCCGAGTCGATACGTCCGGGCACTGCGAAGAATAACACGACACTGAGCCGGAAAGACGTAGACGAAAATTAACCACGAGGCTGACCGTTGTTTACTGTTTGGGATTATCTACCAACTGCGCCGATCGACCGTGAGGCGAGTGTTTCGACCGAGGTCCATAAACGCGAGCCTCGCGTAATATTGTAGGACAGTGATGGCGGCCGAGCGGAATTGTTTTCACTTTTTCGATTCTCTGCACTCGAGAGGTGACTCGCTGTCGCTCATTCAATGGTGTAACTTAAATAAGGAATAAGAGAAGATAATTGCACGAAGAGTTACCACGCGAAATAATTACATTCGCTCATTTTTCGTTAGAAATGGAGGAGATTTTAACTCTGCACTCGGCGATTCTTTCGTTATGGAAAAATAGACATTCGAAGACTTTCTGCCACAAAGTCGAGAAAACCTAGCATATTTTGAGCTCACGGTGCGTCACTGACTGTCGAAGTCTAAGCGCTATCGCGCCGCTTGGGATACTTCGACATAAAATAAACAAAGCGCTATCGCGCCGCTTGGGATTCTTGGACAGAAAATAGAAGAAGCGCTATCGCGCTGCTTGGGTCTTCCCGTACTCACTTAGAGAAAGCGCGGTCGCGCTGCTTGGGATTCCTCGACAATATTTTTCCAAAACCCTCTGGGACTCAAACGGTTAAATAAGAAATAAGAGA